GCACTGTGCACATTTTAGCACTAGATCTAGTGCCATTTTAGCACTAGATCTAGTGCCATTTTAGCACTAGATCTAGTACTTTTTCGGATTAGTGCTACTAGCACTAACCACTCGCACTACGCCCATTTCGACACATTTACATACATGCACTGTGGCTGCACAAACAGACACCTCCAGGTAAGACATGTCACCGTAGCTGAACAAACAGACACCTCTAGGTAAGACATGGCACCGTAGCTGAACAAACAGACACCTCCAGGTAAGACATGTCACCGTAGCTGCACAAACAGACACCTCCAGGTAAGACATGTCACCGTAGCTGCACAAACAGACACCTCCAGGTAAGACATGTCACCGTAGCTGCACAAACAGACACCTGTTACATTGCACAGAGCTTATTAGTTTTATAATCAAATCTATTCATATTCATATTCATATTCATATTCATTACCTGATTTTCAGCGTTTTCATCAATATCTCAAGTACAAGTAATTTTGAATTAGTTTTTAATGAATTAGTTTTTTGAATTAGATTTTAACACAGGAGTTCTTTCTAAGCTTTCTTTGATTACTTCTTGCAGGTGGATAAAAATGGAAAGTCATGACATTGTAATGGAGTGTGCCAAAGTGTCACTGGATATGTACGAGTCCACTAGAGAGGCTGGCTCATTACAGACACCCAAATCAGTGTGTAAAGTATCTAGTAAGTCAGTGTGATTGTTTGTTATTCATTTCTTCATCAGTAATCTCCCATTGTCCACCATTTATCAATTAGTAATGAAAATTAATAAAAATAAATTAAGATTAAAATGGCAATTTTTAACGTTATATTGGTAAAATTTTGTTTGTTGAATTTGACATGTCATGTGTTGTATATTAAATGCAAAAGTTGCCAGATATGTACATCAGTTTAAATAGCACACATCACTGTGTAGATTCAATTGTGATTGAGTATTAAATTGCATAGTTAGTCAGCTTTTGGCCAGTGTAACTTGTATATGCCATCACTTTCCGATTTCATTTTTGCCTGGTTTACCCAAACAAATTTTTCCGTAAATGAAACTATAAAATACAACACAATATCAAACAAACAAACTATCAAGTCTATAAACTGAATGAATACAAGAAAATTGCAAAACTACTCGCAAAAAGATTAATAAAACCAATGCTTTGAGTTACATGATGAATATCATTCCTTCAGGTTTTCACCAGTTTGCTTTGACAAAACCATGTACAATGAGATAACTTATCAAGTTACATGCATACAAGGCCTGTATGCCATTAAATTCACAAGGATCGCAATTGCGCCATCCTAAAAACATGTATTCATATTATGTGATTTGATTGTGTTACACCAATAACATAAAAATAAATGTATTGTACTAAACAATGGGATGAACAAGTACATTCATTGATTAGGTGGCCTTGATGAGTCCAAATAAAGAATAGCCTTATCAACAATATGATGAATATTATTGGTAAATGAAAAATCAATATTCACACCAAGTTTTTGTGATGAGTGACATGATCCAAGACCGATATGATAGTAGTAGTAGTAGTCCAGAATTTTAAATCCGGTTTGGTCCCCGAAGACGAGGGTGGCCAGATTCACCTTGAACTAGTGGCAATCGCTTTTACCCCCTCCCTCCACTTTGCATGATTTAAAGCATCCCTCATCCTCATCCCAACCTTCCCACTCTCCTCCTCCACTTGCATCTTCCACGTCTTCTTTGGCCTTCCCCTTTTCCTTGGACCACTCACCTCTAAATCAAGGGACCTGCTTAATACATGCCCATCCTCCCTCCTCAGCACATGCCCATACCAACGTACCCCATTTGCCTTCGCCAACCAATCTACCGCTTCCTTCAAACCCAACATCTGCATCAAGTCCTCAGTTAACGTTCTGTCCATCAACTTCACCCCACACATCACTCTCACCATCGCTCTCTCCGTCCTCCTTAAAATACCCAGCTCCCATACAGCAATGCTGATCTCACACAACTCTTATAAACTATTCCTTTCATCTCCAAGGGAAATCTCTTCCC